TTCCAGTCCTCAGGAATGGAGGCTGATTTTAAGGAGAGATTACATATTTTTGTCAGGAGATCCACAAGTTCACAATTGAGTTCTTTCAGAACTCTTGGATGTATGCCATCTGGGCCTGGTGATTTATCAGTTTTTAAGTTGTTTATCAGTTTTAGGACCTCCTCTCTCGTCACCTCAATCTGACTCAGGTCTTTCAACACCCCTCCCGAACTCAGCGGCTCTGGAGTGGGCAAGCACCTCTCATCTTCCACAGTGAAGACGGAGGCAAAAAATGCATTTAGCTTCTCAGCCATTTCCCTATCATCCTTCAGTACTCCTTTTACCCCTTGGTCATCCAAGGGCCCCACTGCCTCCCTGGCTGGTTTCCTGTTTCTAATGTATTTGAAGAAAGTTTTATTGTTGGTCTTTACATTTTTTGCTATATGCTCCTCATATTCCCTTTTTGCATGCCTGACCACAGACTTGCATTTTATTTGCCATAGCCTGTGTTCTGTTTTATCAGCCTCACTGTGACTAGCTTTCCACCGCTTAAAGGAATCCTTTTTACCTTTTACAGCTTCCATTACTTTGTTTGTTAACCATGTAGGCTTTTTCTTATACCTGTTTGTGCCTTTCCTAACCTGCGGAATATATTTTATTTGAGCTTCTAGAATTGTAGTTTTAAACAGTTTCCAAGCTTCCCCAATGGTTTTGACCCTTTCTACTTTTCCCTTCAGTTTCCTCCCCACATGTCCCCTCATATCAGAAAAATTACCCCTTTTAAAGTTAAAAGTGGTTGTGTGAGTGTTTTTGGCCAATTCCCTATTTGTACAAATGTTGAACTCAACAACATTATGATCACTGTTCCCAAGCGGTGCAATCACTTTTACATCTCTCACCAGGTCTTGAGTGTGTTATTTAGGACCAAATCAAGGATCGCCTCTCCCCTGGTAGGTTCCGTGACCATCTGCTCCATAGCACAGTCATTTAGAGTGTCTGGAAACGCAATCTCTTTTTCTCGACTAGAACACATATTGACCCAATGTGTGGGTAGTTAAAATCACCTATTACGACACAGTGTTTTTGTCTAGCTGCTATCTTTAATTCATTCATCATTTTATAATCCTCCTCTATCTTTTGATCTGGTGGGCGATAACAAACTCCCAGTGTTAAGTTTCCTTTTGGCCCCCCTATTTCAACCCACAGAACTTCCAGAAGCGAATCCAATTCTCTTAGCCTCTCAATCTTTCTGGACTTTATACCCTCTCTGACCAGAGTGCACATGTGTACTTCGTGTGGAACTGGACGAAGATTCTGGGGGATTCTTTGAGCTTGAGGTATAAAGACGTTCCAGATTGGATTAATAAATTTCCCAGGGAATGAAAGAAGGAGATGAGCAGATATCTAACTAGGTTGACCTGAGTAAGATACAGAAGAGCAAAGGGAAACAAAGCGATAGAAGTACAAGACAGCAAAACTGAACTACTCAATATGGCAACCATACAGTACTTGTGGCAATCTAATAAAGTCCAAAAGAGAGGGCCACAGCACTAAGTAGAACAAGAAAAGGCAAACAAGCGATTGGTCCATTGGGAAATATATTTTTCCTTGGCTCCCAGGACTTCAGTGTTATTAACTGTTCTTTCTCAGATGCTCGCTTAATACTTTATGATACATACATCTATTATTTTTGAGGTTATCTATATTTGTATACTTTTATTGATCCTGACAAAACATAGGCAAGACATGCAGGCATCATCAAGTCTAATAAAATACGTTTTTCCTAATGCACCAATTGTTTTTTTGCCTCCTCTTGCTCCGCAGTTCAATCAAACCATTCACTCTAGTGCATTTCCAGTGTATTCACTTGTATGACTTTACTAATACCGATTAAAGTGGCTTTTGACCCAAATCATGTTCCTCCCACATGGCTAGACCAGAGAAAATAACCTGTAGAGAAGGACAGGTACGGTGGGTTGCTAAAAAGAGGACCAGAAAATGTGAAGGATGAATGGGGAAGGGTTTTCAACATAGGAACGGAAAGCATGTGGGGATACTATGGGAGGAGACTAGCTGGCTGTAGGGCAGACTGGTCTGATAGTAGGGAGGGGGGGAAGCAAAGAGACCGGACCAAGTAGAAAGATACAAAAGCGAAATTTGAGGGAAAGAAGCAGAACAGGAGAAGAAAGACTCTGCCATTCTTGGCAAGGAAGTTCAATATATTTCCTGTGTAGGGATCGTAGAAGGCTTGGGAGCAGAACCAACTATAAAAATGAAGAGCTTTGCATATCCTTTTTATGCCCCTAGATTTATCTGGGCTCAGATGGGGAAGCAGTGCCAGATCTGGCTGCTCGTCGGTATAATGGGGGTGGGGGTTGTATTTGTGATGGATGCAGCTTTAGAATCCATCACCCCATTGGTGGTAAGGTCAGAATCCAAGTTGTCATTGGATAATTCAAGCCTTCTGTTGCAAGGGTACTTCTGAGAGGTGCAGGGATGTGGTAAAATGAGAAGGAGACCTGTTATCTCGTTGTCAAGCCTGCCCTGGGCTCCGGGCATAGCACCTCCCATGGCCGTGGCGTCCCAAGGCGGGAGAGGTCCGATGGCTCTGGAAGTTGAGGCCTGTTAAAGAAGAGGGGGAGCGTTGGGGCCTCAGATGGGTAGGAGACGGAGTTTAGTGGCACTCCGTAGGTCCCTCTACCTTCGTGCATTGGCTTCTCAGCGCCCTCCCTGCGCTCCTTCTCTCTCTGGCTTCGTTAGGTAGTTCCGAGCACATCCTTCCTCCCCGGCCCCTTCGCTTCCCTCGCCTTTATACCCAGCTCCCTCTCCCAGTACCGTCCCTCGGGCCCGCCTCCCTGTCATTCATCCCAGCCCCCCCCCCATGATATGCTCCGTCCCTACGGCCTGGGTGTGGTTGGAGCTATGCCGGCGGTGGTCCTGTCGGCCTGGGGCCCCGCCGCCAGCGTGCGGGGTCTCGTGCATTTGTGTGTTCACCGTCAGCTTCTCCCGGGAGCTGTCGGCCTCTCCTACTCCTCGAGGCTCTTCGCTCCATGGTCGGGCTGGCCCAGGCTGTTGTGCCCTGGCAGTGCTGACAGGGTCCGGTGTTGTGAGGCATTCTTGCTCTGTGGATCTCCTGGGTGAGTTGGTGGTCGTTGGGGTCCCTGAGGGGTGTGGGTTACATCCTGGGACCCCAGAACCGGGACACTCATTGCAAACAACTGAATTAACTTGCACGCCGGGCATGCCTCAGACCAACTGACAAAGTCCAGGAGATGGGTTGATGACCCTTCCTTGGTGTTTGATGAGATTTCCCGAGATGTCTACATGGTGAGGGCAATTCCAAAAGGGATAAGTTGCTGTCCTACAAACATGAGTCATTCATGACTCATGGCCAAGGTATGAGGGGTTTTCGGAGGGTCACACAAAAGAGCGTTAAGTTAATGTGCCTTTGAGTTCTTATGGAAACCGGTCTACTTCCTCCTGAAAGCGCCTGAGGAAATACATGTCATCTTGCAGGGGATAGTCTCCAGAGTGTGGGGATGTGTCATTTGGGATGGTCCAAAGAATGTTTTGGGGTGCATCATGGCCCAACTGTCTGCCTGTGTGATTGTCCTAGGGGTACCCCACTTTGGAGCATCTGGCACAAGAACCGCAGTTTGGACCAGGAAACAGGATATATCCTCTTCAAGGGGAGAGTCCTGTGAACCTTGGGGTGTATGATGTGTGGTGGTTCACACCTTATTTGAGGTTCAGAGCTTTCAAACTCCCCTCAGTGTTTTTGGTTGAATTCATGAATAAGGAACTGGGAATAAGGAACCAACTTCAGACTCGTCTTAATGGGGGGGGGCTCTGATTTGATGTGAGACCAGTGGATTCATCCACAACTGTGAGGATATTGGGGTGCAAAAAGACACGACTCTCAATGGGAGGGCAACAGATTGAGCCTGGGACCATCTGCATGCAAAAGAGATGTTCTGCCAGTGCCCCATGGCCCCACTTCAATGGGGTACCCATGTGTCTTCCTTCAAGCACTAACAATAGTGTGGAGAGGCCATTTTCAGTAGTGAAACCACAGAGAGGAAGGAGTTAAACCCCCTCTTCTCTGTCCCCCAACTGCCTTGTTCCACATCAGCCCACATGCAACTTTTCTCAACATTTTAGAACGGCTACAGATACAAATTTTGTTCACACAATAAATCTGGGATTTGCAGTGGGAGATTTGTTCTCTCTGCTGTTTCCTTTGTCTTCCCTGGTTTCTCCCTCCCCTTGTTGCTCCAGATGCAAGTCCACATAAGCAGAGAAACCTCTCGCTCGGGGAATCTCTCCATCTTTCTAAATTTGCACTTAAATGCATGAATGTACCCAGGAGTCCCACAAGCGGCAACATGGGTCGTAGTTGGACCTCGCCGACTTTCATTTCCTCTGAGTGCGTTTTGCTTAACAGCCTAGGAAGATTAATGCCATATGTTTTAAAGCTCTATCAGAGGTTGTGAGGTCTTTCTGTGGGCAAATGGTGGTTTCTTTTTTAAAATAAAAAAATAGGACTAGCTCGGCCTACATATATTGGTAAGACTGTATTGAGATGAACAGAAGCAGTTGGAGTTGGTGTTCCAGGTCTGAGCTTGGACCAGGCAGCCAGTTTGGTGTAGTGGTTAAGAGCGGTGGGCTCTACTCTGGGAGAACCGGGTTTGATTCCCCACTCCTTCACATACAGCCACCTGGGTGACCTTGGGTCAGTCACAAATTATTTCAGAGCCGTTCTCTCAAGAGCAGTTCTCTCAGAGCTCTCTCAGCCCCACCTACTTCACCTACTTCTTCTGGTGGATCCAACCCAACGACAGCCAAGAATGGGGGACTTCTCCAAGACCAGAATCTTGATGCAGTGATTCTGCCGCTGCTGCCACCACCCAGAGAAAGAAAGCAAACCTTAGTTTCTCCCTGTCTAAAATACAACAAAACACAGTCCTGGGGGATCTTTTGTATTCTGTGACTGGGATTGTTTTCTTCTTTATCTCAAACAGGAGGGTTGTGTCCCGGCTCCAGTGATCCTTGCACAGACAAGCCCTGCCCGGGTGATATGCAGTGCGTGGGCTACGAAATCAACCGAAGGCCTTTCATCTGCCAGTGCCCTCCTGGGAAGCTTGGGGAGTGCTCAGGTATTTGTTCCAAACAGGC